TTTCGACCCCCCCCCCCCCGTCGTGACGGCTTCGCATCCCTCATGGCTCCCGTTGACTGCAGTAGGTCAGACATCACCAAGCGCGTCCGATACTCGAACGAGTTGATAGCACAGCTCCTTCGGCGGGCGTGACAAGACTGATGGTGTACTTGGAGCGGAGGCGGTGTTACCTGGTGACGTGAATGTGTTTTGGCCTACGAGAGAGACTGGTTTGGTGTTGGATTCGTCGTGCGCAGCCCTGGTGTAACGTCATTTACCATCGGACCCTTGAAGCGCCAAGACGTGGAACACGTCTGTCAGATTTTTGCCCAAGACCCGGGGGGCAGTTTGAGTTGTCCAAGAGAGAATAGATCCTATTAACACATAGTACTGACGTATTATATAAAAAAACCATTCCGGCCGGTCGTTAGCCTGCAATTCAGACATACTCCATTTTAGGACAGGCTCGCACGCGATTGGCGTTGTGCCGCGATATTTTTCCCTCCCGCCGACCATCATCATCGGCCAGGTGAACATATGAAGGCAATAGGTAGTACCAGGTGGGGGGCGGTACGTCATGGCAAACGAGGGGTNGGGGGGGGGGGGGGGGGGGGGGGGGGGGGGGGGGGGGGGGGGGGGGGGGGGATACCCACATTTCGCACGAGCGAGTGTCCACCTCCCAGATTGTCGGGCAGTAAAAGGTGTAAGCGTCCAAGCACGCATAATAAGTAGGCATTCGGAGGGAGCACGACGCCGCCGGGCCTGGTGACACAGAAAGTCGCTCGTAGCACCCAGTTGGTGTACTTCGAGGAGGAGTGATTGGTTCACAACGAGTGAGGTGCTAGGTTTAGTTAGCTTGGTCGTTTGTCCCACTTCGGTTTTGTGATTCCTTGCTGTGGCGATTGGTGTGAGGCAGGTAGGGTGCCATTCATAGAAAGCAGGGCGCAGAGCAGTCGGTCACCGTGTTCAACGGAGACAGAGGTGGTTGGTTCAAGCAGAGCCAAACTCTAGTTGTTGCTGCCCTTTTCGTAAGGCATCCTCTGATAATTATAAAAAAAAATGTTGCAGTTTTTACTCGGGATGTGATGTAAACGCGACCGAAAGACCTGCGGCGCGCCGGTATGTCAAGTTTTAATGACTTCACGCTGCTGTATTCAAACAGCAAAGGTATTTTTTTGGCACGCCGATCCATCGAAAACTGCATGCAGCCCCTACATGTTGATGGATCTCGAGCGCACAATTCTCTCCTTTGTACAACCGCGAGCGCCTAGTAAGGTGTCATCACAGCAGTGGAGGTTCCTGATTAGTGCCGGTATGTGCCCAGAAAATTCGCCGGCACTATCCCGGGCACCCGACACTCATGATCGAGGTACAGGACTTGATATTCAGTGTGTGGCCCGCCACAAAATGGCAAACGGCACTCCTCGACACTGAACAGGGACCTCTACTCTGTGTATCGCTTTCCCCCGCTACCGAACCTCAACGGAGCAGTCAGCAACCTTGACAACGCGAGAAAGGAGTGCGGTTGCTGCCGTTCAGACTGCAGACGACGTTTTCTTGAAAGCATGGGCACCTTTTGATAGCATAAAGAAAACCGACTCGGAAATTGCCCTTGCGGGCAACACAGATGTACATTACGCGATTGATTGTCCCCGTGTGTGTACCCTGTCACGCCGAAACGGGGCAAAATGTGGCCATTTTTGAGCCGACTGATTTTTCTTCCGGTGACTCATGCAGGAAAATGCGCGTAAAAGAACATGCGAAGAAAAGGAGAGGAAATGTTATTAGCTGTCCTTACCGCGAGCAGTGTTTGTGGCTAAGGGTATGTAGATGTTGCTGGGCTGACATCGCCCTTGTTACTGGGTAGGGTGTGACCGCGGCACCGCACTTCTGTGCGCAACGACGATGTAAGGTTCTTCCAATGCTTCCCCGCAACAATCAACAATCAACAACCAACAGCAAGTGCTTCAGGTTGGGAGAGTTCCGACCCCGAACCCTCGACGCACTAAAATTCAGTATCAATGCATTGAATTCCACAGCTTGACTGAGCTAGGTACCATAGGTGGGCCGAGTCACAAGCTGTATACGCCACGTCCTACGTGAAATGCAGTCTACATGCACATGTGCACACGTGCGAACCATGTATGACGACCGCGCCGCTAAAGAACTGTAAGGGGGGGGGGG